CGAGGGGGGCTACGGGGAAGGGTCCAGTCTCAGTCTGCATTTTGGCCAACACCAGCCTTCCCCTCTGTAACCCCCTCCCACCCCCCAAGGCCTTGTTCCCTCTGCCTGTTGCCAGGTTCTGAGTGTATTTTTTCCAGAGGCCGCTGATTGTTTCCTGAAGAAACCTGATCCCAGGGCTCAGACAAAAGCTGGGGCTGCCAGAGGAGAAACCCCATTCTCTCCCGCTCTGTCCCTAACCCCCCCCCCACCTTCACAACCTCCCTCGCTTTGGATGCTGGGTATGGGTTCCAGGACCCGGCTGCCATCACCTAGGCAACAGGGGGCTTTGGTTGCCATGGTGATCAATGTGGGAGAAGCTGGGCAGCCGGGGACAAAAGCCCCCACATTCCCCCCCACCCCTCCCCCCAGTCCCCTTGGGATGGTACTGAGACACATTCCATTAATTTTATTTCTGAAAGGCCTTTGGGGGGAGAAGGGTCTTGTTTTTGTGACAGGTTCCCTTCCTTCTCTCTCTCCTCTCTGGCCTCCTTTTAACCCCAGATAATCCATGGTTGGTTTGAGCAGGGGACTGAGTGAGTGTGTGCGTGTGTCTTGGAGGTGGGGGCAAGGTGAACGCAATGGGACACATTGCCTTTCCCAGCCTCCCACCCGAAAACCAGCCCCCCCCCCCCCCCGGTCTACACCGGGTCTTGCTGACCTCGAGGTCCACCTCTGACATTTCCACTTGTTGGTCTCATCCAGTGTTCCCCTCCCCCACCCTCTTCCCTGGGAATCCGCCCACCCAGGAGACCCTCCAGACCCCTGATTCCTGAGCTGATGAAACAAGGGCAACCTCTCCCCTTGTCTGCACTCACCTCCCGTCCCTCCCCCAGCCTCTCCAGATTCGGGTTAGTTCCCCGGGTACTTGAGGGGACAGCAGGCGAGGGTCTGAGAAATTGGGTGCTCATTCTGGCCCCTCTGTTTGGTAGGGGAAGGAGGAGCACATTTGGATGCTTTTTGGGGCACCTTGAGTTGGGTTGGGGGGGTGAAGCGGGCCAGGGGAGCAGGGTGTATGCTGGGTCTTTAATACGTGGCTGGGAGGAAGGTAGGGGCTCCAGGCGGAGTCGCTGGGAACAAAGGGTTGGGAGGGGCTGGCACTCTTGTCTGGTTCGAAATTTATCTGTAGGGGAAACACAATGGTCCTGGCTTCCCTCCTGGGTGTATTTGAAGTGGTTCTGGTCAGGGCTCTGTGTGTGTGTGTGTGTGTGTGTGTGTGTGTGTGTGTGTGTGACTTCTTTATTTAGTAGTACAAACAGCAGGATTTATTTATACCATCTCTTTCCAAAGTCTCAGAGGAAGTGTGGGGATCGGAAGATGGGCGACCCTGAGCCAGAGCATATTAATTCCTTAACTAATTACTAGCTGAGCAGTGTATAGAAGCATTTCTCTCACCCCCAGGGTCCTCACAGCAGCCCCATCAAGGATGTATCATTATTTTCCGATTTTCCCGATGAGCCTACCAGGCTACAAAGTGCAGAGAAGTTAAGTAACTTGCCTGTGGTCACGTAGCTGGTGGGTGGGAGAGTCAGGTTTCGAATGCAGAGCCTTGGATGCAAATCCCAGGCTCTCTGTGCTGTTGGCTCTGGAGATGTGAGTGTTAAGGGTGAGGCTGAGATGGTGGGGAGTCCTGGATCCTGCCTCTGTCTAGACCCGGGCGAGGGCAGGTCTGTTCCCCCTTACTTCTCCACCCCCTCTCTGGAGCCTGCTCGTTCTCTTGAACCTCCTGGTGGGAATTGGGTCTGGGGACGAGAATAGGCTGCAACAGGCCAGACAGATGCAGACAAGGTGTGGGAACTGTACTGAGATCTTAGCCAGTAGAAAGGGTTCTCAGGAGCTGGGGTGGAGGAACCCGACGTGTAATTTGTGGATGGGGTGCTGCATAAGGCCCTGTTCACGGCAATGGTATTTAGAAAGGGTTCGGCTGGGCTTGAGGCTTCATGTCTGTGTCCCCTAAGCGTGTGTCTGTCACACGCTTGCCTTGACGTGGGGCTATTGACAACCATCGAGAGGCCACGGGGGTGCCTCCAGATAGCTGGTAGGGGGATCAAGGAATGGAGGGATAGATTTCATCTCCCCACGGTGGTGGCGGGTTCCCCGAGAGTCAGAGGGCGAGTGCATTCCCCAGGTCAGTGTCAGTTTCTTGCCCCTTCCCCCGGGAGGGTGGTGGACACAGATACGTCTCAGTCATCCTTCCTGTTCTCTAGTTGCTGACCGCTTAGTTTAGTGGGAGAAGAGTTAACAACCACACTGAAACCTGTTTCAGTTCTGAACAACATTGACTTTTTGGCAGCGCGCGACCTGGTCGGTTTTATTCCTGCCTCCAAACGCTCTCCTGTTCTCGGATGCTGCGGGAGCCCACTCTTCTGGCCTCCCCCGTCCTCTGGCCTCACCTCGTTGGCTCCTTTGCCTGCTCTTACACACCGGGATTCCCAGAAACCCCTTAACTCATTCCTCTTCCGAGGGGATCCCACACACTCCCACCTTACACCCCGGCAGCACCTCCAGCTCAGACTCTCCTGAGTCTGGCTCCTCAGAAACCCTGCTGCCTCCCTGACTGCCTGTCTCATGGCCTTGAACTTAGCCCGCTGGAAATGGAGCTCACTGCCTTCCTCCCGAGATTTGCCGCCCCCCCCCCCCGTGATGTCACTACCACCTACTCTCTTGCTCAGGCCAGAGATCCTGGGCACTCCCCTCCCCTCAGCCAGACCTTGGTGGGCCCTGCTGATCCTACCAGCATGTCTCACGCCCGGCTGTTGTCACCTCCTCCAGGCGTGCACGCCTGGAGCAGCCTCCTTCCTTGTGTTCCCACGTTCCCACGGCTGCGCTCCCCTCCCCCAGCCCCTGCCTGCATAGCTAAAATCCTTCACAGGCTTCCCCTTGGGCTTGGACTAAAACGCGAGCTCCTCACCTGGCCCAGGGATCTTGCGATAGCTTGGCCCTGGCTACCTGTCCACCGTCCTCTTCCTCAGCTCCAGCCCTACGGGCCGATGCTAGTTCTTGAAATACACTGAGCTCTGCTGCCCTTGGTCTTCCTGAGCACGCCTCCCTGCCTTTCTCCTGCACTCTGCCTGGTTCATTGCTGCTCTTCCTTCAGGCTCAGGTGTCATTTTCTCCGAGAGACTTTCCAGAAGCACTCAGTTTCTGGTCGCGGCCCCCAGAGCCGTCTCTCCTGGTTTTCCTGTCGTCACTCCTGCAGTTAGTTATTCATACTCCAGTGTCCTCATTCTGCATGCATCTGCCCCACCAGCCTGGGAATGCAGGGTCAGGTCCCCGCCATACCCCCAGGGCCTCGTAGGGAGCGTGGTGCACAGAGGTGCCTGAGAGTGAGTCGATGGGCCGGTGAGTGAGGCTGGGAAATACGCGTGTGCGTGGCTGAGTCGTGCGTGCGTGACAGAGGTGGGGCAGAGGGGAGGATGCGCGGTGGCTGCTAGTCGTGGAGGGCTGGGCTCTGGGGCCCAGCAGGATGCAGGTGAGGGTTGGGGAAGCGAGGAGGAGAGCTCATTCTTCTCTGCAGAGCTCAAAGGTGAATGTGTAGAATAAAGATGCTGCCCCGAGCACACTCACCCAAGAAGACTCTTGACCTTGCCATTTCAGGGCTTTAGGCTTTTGAATGGTTTCTGCTGCCTTCTCCTCCCCACTCACCCCAACATTATCCATGGTTTCCATTCCTGACCTTGTCCCTTAGTCTGTGCGCACGCGCACACACACATATACACACACCCTCTGAGCCTCATGGGGAGCAGCCAAGCTGACCTGGCCCGAGCACACACACACACACACACACACACACACACACCCGAGCCTCATGGGGAGCAGCCAGGCTGACCTGGCCCGAGCACACACACACACACACACACACACACACACACCTGAGCCTCATGGGGAGCAGCCAGGCTGACCTGGCCCGAGCACGCACACACACATACACACACACACACCTCTGAGCCTCATGGGGAGCAGCCAGGCTGACCTGGCCCGAGCACACACACACACACACACACCTGAGCCTCATGGGGAGCAGCCAGGCTGACCTGGCCCAAGCACACACACACACACACACACACACACCCCTGAGCCTCATGGGGAGCAGCCAGGCTGACCTGGCCCGAGCACGCACACACACACACACACACACCCCTGAGCCTCATGGGGAGCAGCCAGGCTG